CAACAACAACAAACAAACAAACAAACAAACAGCAAAGGAGTAAAGATGGTTTGTATTTTTTAACCAAAAAGTAAATAAAAAATATTAAAACCGGAATTGAATCACACAACAGGAGAATTAACAGTTTGCTAAACATTCCGCATGCGGCATGCCCTTATTTTGTTATCATGTGAGAGGATGGGAAAGCGTGTGTGTTTTTCATTATAGGGGGTGAGAAGGCATGAGCCCCTGAACACTGGCGTTGCCCTCAAATGAAATTCAAACGTGTTTTAATTTTAATTAGATACCATTGATATATGTTGCTGAAATGACATGATTTTCCGGGATTTTTTCTCAATTCTTTTTGTAAATTATACTTGTTGAAAAATTACAAATTCTCAAATCTACAGTGAGGCAAACAAAATATGCTTTTTTAGAACCCTTCATGTCAGCGCCTGCAGAACGGCGGGGCTCGGAGCTCAATGGCTTGACCCCCCTCACCTTTTTGAAAAAGTATGTTACTAGAGAAAGAGAAAGAAATAGAGAAAGAAAAAATGAGTGGCCTGCCAATGTCACAAATGAGGTATCAAAATTATGCTCATCTAACCATAATTAATTATCTCAAACCCTGAGCTTCCGGGTGCTCTGCCCCCTGGACCCCACCAAGCAATCCTGAGGGAAACCAACACTTTCAAGAGAGCATAGCCATAATGCCCAAAACGACTAAGCGGCAAGATCAAAACTTTGCAAATGTCGACACACTTTGCCAAAATAATTATGTGTCTTTTTAATTTTGCGAGGGTGCGCTGCGACCGAACATTGCATTCTGTTGTTTAAATAATTTTGTCCACAAAATCCCTTTCTCCGCCCTTTCAAATGGGGGTAACCAGGCTTTATTCGTTAAATACTTTATGACGACTTCCAAATTTAGGAGCGGAGGGACGGGCGATCCCTTTTACAGAGACTTCGGCCCCGCCTCCCTTTGAATCATCGACCGTCTATGAGCACTATTGTAATTTATATCAATAACTAGTTTTGTTGTTGTTCTTGTAGCTTTTCATTTGTTATGATAATAACAATCCATTTTTTAAACACATTACAATTTACAAAGTATGTCCCTATATCGTTTTAAAGCAAAGAGAAAAATAGGGTAGGCCTACTGATCGAGTCCCTTTTTACTTGTTTACAACGGGTGGACTTAGTGTGTCAATGTTTCTAAGTAAGTCTGGGAGGCTATTCCATAAAACTGGGGTAGCAGGCGCGTACACAGGGGGGGGGGGGGGGGTTAAACCCCCCTTTGGTATTTTTTTTGGTGTAAACCCCCCCCCCCCCTAACCCCCCCCTTTGGATTTATTATTTTATTTTATTTTTTTATTAAAAAAAAAAAAAAAAAAAAAAAAAATATTATTCCCATTGCTGACCTAAAAAAGCTGACCTTACCCCCCCCCCCAACGGAGCAAAATGTCAGTTTTTCAAATTTCGAGACCAAAAAAAAAAAAAATATTCCCATGGCTGACCTAAAAAAGCTGACCATACCCCCCCCCCCCCCCAACGGAGCAAAATGTTAATTTTTCAATTTTCGAGACCAAAAAAAAAAAAAATTTCCCATGGCTGACCTTAAAAAGCTGACCTTACCCCCCCCCCCCCCCCCATGGAGCAAAATGTCAATTTTCAAATTTCGAGACCAAAAAAAAAAAAAAAAAGTGTCCTCTTACCCCCCTCCCCCGCTTATTCAGCGGCTGGATGAGTCGTTGCGAAATTTTCGGCCCGATTTATGAATGTTAAACCCCCCCCCCCCCTTGAAAAAATCCTGCGTACGCGCCTGTGGGGTAGTATGGGCAAATGAACGTTCACCATAATGTGTTTAATTGTACAAATAGGAGGAACAGAAAATAGTTTTTTTTTTTTTTTTTTTTTTTTTTTTTTTACATGATGGAAGATTTTTTTACTGGTTTATAGGCTGAGCTAATTCATAAAAACATTCATAAGCAAATAACAATATTTTGAAGTCCTATGTTTTGTAGTGAGGTAGGTTCTATTGAAATTTGTGCTCAAACTATCAAACCTATGTCTGTTCATTGATCATACCATATTACGTCTATGATCATACTTGGCTGAATCACTATAGACCCCTATGCAGCGCTTTATAATACCATTGAGCGAGGAAGCGGAGCGACTGAGCAAGTAGTTTGCTCATTTCCGCATCCCATGTCAAGTATAAACCAACCATTATTATCAATTATGGGGATTATGGGGATTATGGGGATTATGAGTATGAGTCATCATAAGTTACATATATACATGTAGATACCAGGCGCGGATCCAGGATTTCTTAGGGGGGGGGGGGGGCCCACTTTTTTTTTTGGTCCGAAAAAAAAAATCGTTACGACTCAGCCAGCCGCTAAATAAGCGGGGGGGGGGGGGGGGGGGGGAAGAGGACACCTTTTTTAGGTCAGCCATTGGCATATTTTTTAAATTTTTTTTTAAATAAAAAAAAAAAAAAATCACAGAAAAGGGGGGGGGGGGTTTTGCTCCAAAATACACACATAAAAAAACCGAAGGGGGAGGGTCGACCCCTAACCCCCTCCCCCTTCCGTACGTGCCTACTCGTCTGAAAATAGTTTTTCCCCTCCCGCGCGAAGCGCGGAAGCTTCTACGTTTTATTAAATCATTAGAAAAAGAAGACGATTCGTTGTACAGTTTTTTACTCTTAATCCTCGTCTTAATTCATCCCCTCTCCCGCGCAAAGCTCGGAAGCTTTTACGTTTCATTAAATCATTAGAGAAAGAAGACGATTCGTTGTACCGTTCTCGACTCTTAATCCTCATCTGAATTCAGTTTTCCCCTCCTCCTCCCGCGCGAAGCGCGGAAGCTTGTACGTTTCATTAAATCATTAGAGAAAGAAGACGATTCGTTGTACCGTTCTCGAAAATAATCCTCGTCTGAATACAGCTTTTACGTTTTTATTAAATCATTAGCGAAATAAGACGATTCGTTGTACCGTTATGACTTTTAGTCCTTGTCTAAATTCAGTTTCCCCCCTCCACGCCGAAGCGCGGAAGCTTCGACGTTTCATTAAATTATTAGAGAAAGAAGACGATTCGTTGTACCGTTCTCGACTCTTAATCCTCATCTGAATTCAGTTTTCCCTCCTCCCTCCCGCGCGAAGCGCGGAAGCTTGTACGTTTCATTAAATCATTAGAGAAAGAAGACATTCGTTGTACCGTTCTCGAAAATAATCCTCGTCTGAATACAGCTTTTACGTTTCATTAAATTATTAGCGAAATAAGACGATTCGTTGTACCGTTTTGACTTTTAATCCTTGTCTAAATTCAGTTTCCCCCCTCCCACGCGAAGCGCGGAAGCTTCGACGTTTCATTAATTCATTGGGGAAAAGACGATTCGTTGTACCGTTCTCGACTCTTAATCCTTGTCTGAATTTCAAATATGTTCTTTGTCTAATCCATTTTCTTCCTACGTCCTCTTTCTTTACACTCCTCTCTATTTTGGCCGGCGTTTATTGGGGGACCACCACCGCCCCCCCATGGCTACGCGCCTGCTGTCAGATGAACATATGTTGATACCTGTCCCGCCCCGGAAGCTCAGGGGTTTAAGGTTTTAATTTACGGTCAGATTAGCATTCAGGAGTCCGCCTTAGCGCCCTAGACGGGGTCCAGGGGGCAGAGCCCCGGAAATTCAGGAGTTTAGGCATTTAATTACGGTCAGATGAGCATTATTTTGATACCTAATTGTTACAATGGCAGGTCACTAATTGGCTTGGGGTTCAGGGGGCGGAGCCCCATAATCTCAAGGGTTTTAGGCACTCAATTACGGTCAGATGAGTATCGAGGGGCCCGCCTAAGGGCTCTTGGTTGGGTCCAGGGGGCAGAGCCCCCAGAAGCTCAGGAGTTTTAGGCGTTTAATTACGGTCAGATGAGCATTTTTTTATACCTTATTATTTGCGACACTAGCAGGACACTATTTGGCGTGGGGTCCAGGGGGCAGAGCCCCCAGAAACCAGGGGTTTTAGGCATTAAATGACCGTCATATGAGCATCTAAGGGCCCGCCTTAGGGCCCTAGGTGGAATCCAGGGGCAGAGCCCTTAGGATTTTAGGCATTAATTTTAATCATGGTCAGATGAGCATATTTGATACCCCATTATAATGTGACACTGGCAGTTAACTATTTTTTCTTTCTCGCTCTCTTTATTTCTATTTCTCTTTAATATACTTTTTCAAAGAAAGTGTGGGGGAGGGGCTCGAGGATCCGATCCCCGCCGTTCCGCGGGCCCTGATATGTAGGCATCTCAAGAAGCATTTTCTTGCCTGGCTGTAAATTTAGGAATTTGTCATTTTCCAACAAACGCATGAAATGAGGAAAATTATCTCATTTCAGCATTATTTGTTAACCACCGTTATGGAATTATAAATAAACCACGTTTGAATTCTATTTCTCCAACCCCCCTCCCCTATCAGTATGCCAGTGCCCCCCCCCCCCACCGATCTACACCTTGTTGGCGGGAAAATTTCAACTGATATCCCCCTTCTTTTCTTTTCTTCTTCCTATTTTGTCCTTCCTTTATCTCCTCTTTATCTTTTTTCTTTCCCTTTCCTTCCTTCTCTTTTATTTTTTTTATTGGGGGGGGGGGGGTGGGGAAGGGGGAGGCAAGTCCTTCCCCCCCGATCTCCTTCTTCCCTCTTTTCTTTTCTTCTTCCTCTTTTTTTTTTCTTCCCTTTCTCTCCTCTTTCCCTCCTTTTCCTTCTCTCTCTCTCTCTCCTTTTTTTTTTTTTTGCGGGGGGGGGGGGGGCCAAGGCACGCTCGGCCCCCCCCCCCCCTGGATCCGCGCCTGTAGATACTGTGTCTAAATTAGATCCTTTTACGAGGATTAATAATGATGAAGCATTCTTGTTATCACATAAACGATATCCCACTATAAGTGTATGCCGAACTGCGCTAGGAGTATTTGTTATTCTTGAAATTGCACTTCTACTTTACTCCGAATTATGTAAACATAACACATGTGTATAGTATGAAGCAGCTGTGCAGTGTCTATCTCCCGCGTAAGCGCGTACGCGTAACTACAACGCAATCTTATTTAAAATATACAATCACCGAGCAAGTTACAACATATTTTACAAAGCTATTCTGCTTACTAAAATTTGAAAAATTCCTTCATTTGTCTACTTTTGCAAAATGGAGCGCCCAGCTGTGGATCAAATGACGAAAGAATCGTTCTATAACGACGCCAAAGATTACTGGAAAGATATCCCCGCGACAGTAGACGGAATGCTGGGTGGATTCGGCCAAATCTCTGGCGAGGACATCAACGGCTCGCTGGAGTTTCTCAAACCTTTCCTCACGGTATGTTTTTATACTTTTTAAATGACTGATTTTGTATTTGCTTGCTAAATCTTTCTTCCCGAATTTCGGCAATCCTATACTTTAGTGTGTTTTATTATTTTGGGTTTCTAACTTCAGTTAACAATAACAGCTCTAGATCTACGTGCATATCATACTAGGGTTAGGGTTAGGGTTAGGGTTAGGGTTAGGGTTAAACTGAAGTTAGCAACCCAAAATAATAAAACACACTAAAGTATACGATAACCCGAATTTCTGCTAACGGCCTACCTTAAAAAGTAGATCTGTGATGTAGATTATTAAGTAGATTTCTAGTAACTTATTAATAATAATGCTTTCCTGGGTCTATCTGAATATTTTGATGGACCATCATCATATGATACTTGATAGGGTCTATTGTAGATCTACAGGGAATAATTTTCCTGGTATCGCATCGCCATTTGCTATGCATTTTTGCATGACTGCTATACAAAATATTGTTTGTGTAGCAGTTTTCTTCCATAGAAATGTACAGAATTTCATTTGAAATATTTATCCATCAGCTGAAATTGCTAATCAAAATATTTGAGGAAAATTATTCCCTGTTGTATTTGTAACTCGAACTCTACATGATTGTGTAGACCTAAGTCTCCCTGTAATTTTATTTTTTATCAAATTACATGGAGACTTCAACTGATATTGCCTGTACCTTAGTAGCAGAAAATACAGTTGCACTAGGACCCTGCCTGTTTTTGTTTCACTGCATGTAGGGTCTAGTATTAGTACACCGACAACAATGTGGCTCGTACTTCTACAGAAGAAGAAGAATATATATAAATTTGGCATTAAATAAAAAAAAATTACACACTTTGCATTTAAAGTTTCATATAGATTCTAGATTTCAATATTGATGTCTGAATATTCATGAAAATAAGTTTTAAACTAAAAAGATATACTTTTAAAAGAAAAATGTAGTCTACATGTAATGCATAAATCTTGAATAGTTTAAAAAAAAATTAGTCTTCATGCATATATGGATTTTAGATGTACATATATATATCTTCTTCCTGTAGTGTGCCTGGGCGGAGCGGGTAGGGTCTAACCGAGCCCTTGACTGCGGCTGCGGCATCGGTCGCATCACCAAGCATCTCCTGCTACCGCTCTTCCAGCATGTGGACATGGTGGAACAGACGCAGAAGTTCCTTGATGAGGCGAAGCAGTTCATAGGTGAGGAAGCCAGTCGGGTAGAGCGGATGATATGCCGTGGTCTCCAGGAGTTCACGCCTCAGCCAGAGCACTACGACGTCATCTGGTGCCAGTGGGTCCTGGGACATCTAACGGACGAACACATGGTGCACTTCCTGAAGAGAGCCAGAACGGGGCTCACGGAAACCGGAATGATTTGCGTGAAGGAGAACATTGCTAAGAAAGGGGTAGTGTTCGATGACCAGGACAGCAGTGTGACTAGGTCGAATCCACAATTGAAAAAGATCTTTGCATTAGCAGGGCTGACCATTGTGAAGGAAACTGTTCAGAAACGATTCCCCTTAGGTTTGTTTACAGTGAGAATGTATGCCTTGAGATGATTGCAAGTTTTTACTCCAAGCTTTTTATACACCAAGTATATTTTTCCAAGAGTCATAGTTCTAGGAAAATGTGTCATTCTTTACATTGTGGATGTAAATAGGTTCCTTGCAATCGCTAGGGTAATGATAATTGCTGGGCCTGTAGGAAAAGCAGTATTAATATTGATGACGCTACCAACTTACCAGTGATAATAAGCCAGTGGGTACATGTATCTGTGCATGGGCAGATAAAGGTAATTTGTACAAAATTGTAAAACCCACCAAAATGAATATTTGATACATGTTCTTTAGCATTTATGAATCAATATTATTGCAGTGCATGCACCAACAGGGTATTCTGTGATACACAGGTGGAAATATTCTTCTCAAGCGAGCAAACAAAGATATTCAAGAATCACCTCCGTAACTTGGGCAGTGATTATTCTAAAAAAAGCACCAAGTGCGACTTCTCCAGGATTGAAAGATCATTGGATATTTGGGGTCATTTATACTGTGTGCCAAGTACAAACTAGTCTGTAGGACACAATTATTTAATTACTATCATCTTTAAGTCTTGCTCCTGCATGAAACTGCAAGCCATTAAAAATGCAAAATGAAATGAAATTAAACATATTGGGTTTTGTATCTCTGTTTCCTGGTCTTCTAGTAAACTTTTGGTATACAAAAAGAAAAAAGTAAGAAAACATAATAATTGGTCAAATGGAATCTCAAATATTATACAGTAATGTACATCCAGAATGATCTGATGCAATTTTGTTTTCACTACTTAAAGAGAAGTTGAGTTCTGGGCAGAGGTGAAAAGAATTTTGTGAGCATTATCATTGTACATGTATTATGCAAGTGTGGGAGAACATCAGATGAAAATGTTCACTGAAAAGCATGGCTCTTCAAATGCCTTAATATTCTTAATATGGCATGTAACATGAAAATCAGGACAGAATTTTATGCCACATGTTCGTGTAGTATCGTATACCTGTACATCTTTCTGTGTACAGTGTTTGTAACTTTACCTTGGGCCAAATTTCTTATCATTTTGATGATTCTAGAACCTTGCAGTACACACCAATACTTATATGCTAGATGATCAACCATTTCTGATCGATTCCACAACGTTACTTTCACAATGTAATCGCATGATCAGAACTCAACTTTATCTTTAAAGGGCATGTCTACTCCCAAAATAACTTACTTTCAATAGAAGCAGAAAAATCAATCCAAAACATTTTGAGCAAAATCGGATGACTAATAAGAAAGTTATGAATTTTTAATGACATGAATTTTTTTTTAAATCACAAGACAAATTGGCAACTCACTCATGAGTCTGCTACGTCATTGCCTCACTATCCACTAAGTGTTTTCTTTATATTGATAATAGAAATTTCCAATTTTCCCCTAAAAATCTTATTTCTCACACCAGCATCCAAGATATTTGATAGTAATATGGTTTTGTGTAGATGCACTAATATGGAGTAATTTGTTTCAGTTAAATCATTATGAATTTACAATATTCATTAAAAAGTATCAATTCAAGTTTTTAAAACAATTTGTGAATTGTCATGCACACAATATGATACAAATCATATAACCTGGATAAAGGCATGGGGAAATAAAGTTTTTGGGAATAATAAGGGAAATTAATTGGATGAAAATATACACATGTAGTTACAAGATTGCTTGAAATGGCCACTCATCTAAAGCTAGGGTAAAAATTTCCAAAGCTCTTTGGAAGCGCATAGAGACGTTGTATACCGGTAATTTGATATGCGCTATACAAAAAACCGAATATTATTATTATCGAAACCATGAGTCTGATTGATTGGGTCAATGCTGATGAGCGTTCTGTAGTTGTTCAGCAATTACAGGGGAAGTGTAACTCCCTGTGTTGTTATTATGATGCTTGTTCTATTATGATCAGCATATTTTGCAGTATTGTAAGTATTCTGCAAAATGTGTGTCCCATTTAAAAAAAATACAGCCACTTGTTGTGTCTGGTCTGTTCATTGCAAATTGTTGTCTGTTTCAATTCACGGAAGTAGAAGTATGACATACATGTACATAGAGTGTTTAATGATTTTTGTTGTCAGTTTTATGTATAATACCTCTATCAAATAAACTTCAACAGGCCAATTTTATATGTCAGGGATGCCAGTTAGAATTGATCCAAGGGCCTGAAAATCACCTACAATAAGCTATTTTGTACTTAGCTATGGTCTGAAAATAACTCGCCAGGCCTGAATTCAGGCTATTGCCTGAAAACTGGCTTGCCTGATATGTACAAAAGTGTATTGTTAATTACCATTGCTTAGAGATATGGGACCAGTCCTTAAAGGTAATACAAAGTTTTGGTATAGGGTCATGAATTTGGTTCAAATGAACATATTGGAAACATATGCGATCCTACAATATTCATTGATCGTTGTCGCGGTTGAAATCGAGTCTAAAGTTATGAAACTGTAGATAATAAACTCTTTATGTTGTATAGCTCCCTCTCAAGGTCAAGATATTAATTAAGCTATAAAGCAATGTTTCTTGACTGAAATCGACCGATTAGCTATTCCCGTTTGGAAAATATATATCACAACTAATTATTCTGAGAATTTCAGGGTCGCAGCTACCATCGTACGGCCGTAGTCGCCATTTGAAATTCATCAAAATTTACCGGGAGCACCGGTAAATTTTTATATTCAATTTTACTTGAAAACAAAAGTGTTTTAGGGGCTAAATTTTCTAGTGCTTATAATACATCCACAGGGGCATCCAAATATATCAAAATTGTAAAGAATCACTATCCACCCAATTTTCAAAATTTTCCAAAACATTGTATTACCTTTAACATTGAAATCTTCAAATTTTTAGACCTTTAGTGACTCTCTCTTCTCTTTAAAAAAAAAAATTAATTGTGTCATACATTAGTACAATTTTTCTGATAAAATATGTAACACCTTGTGATAGCTACAACTTTAAAAAAAAAAAAAATTTTTTTTTTATCAGTACCTAGATATTTGTATGCTTCATTTTATGTAAATTCTTTGGTCCACTCTCTCATCCCTCCATCTCCTCAGTTTAACATTGGTAATGAGTACAACTGTATGAAAGCAGAACAAATAAGAGAAACAAAATGGTCAAAGTTTGAAATAGATTGACAAATAGTATGAGAGTTAGATGTTGCTTATTGCACCATGTGAGAAAGAGGGGGATGATTGGGGATTCCTGAAAAGGACTGCCGGTAATCTTTCTTTCTTGAGTGTGTGTAGTCCTGAAAAGACAATTAGGGACAAGGTTGACTAGCCATCGTCAGAAATGAGAGTATGAGCTTTAGGAGTGTTTAAAATATGAGACCAATATACATGTACATGTAATCGTGTGCAGCTTATAACCATTGCTTATGAAAGCCACTGGCGCGTATGCAGAGGGGAGGGGGGGGGGGGGGGGGTGTATGGGGGTCGAACCCCCATCAAGTTTTGTTCTATGTGTGTGTTTAGGAGGAAATCCCCCCTCATAATACAGGGGAATGGCTAATATTCTGCAGAGCCATTTGTACACATAGTATAGCCAACTTGGTTTCAGTCGGTAACAAAATGGCTTATACTCCTTTGTTTTGTGCTTGCACAACAAAAACAGTAATCACCATATTGTGCCAAACTTGAATGAGGTTGGCCAAACTCTCCCAATCAATGGCACTGAAATTCTGGCAGGGGGGTGCAACTCCGCTTCTGCATCCGTCTAGCCATGGGGAGATTTTGGAGGGTCAAAAGTGCACACTGCTTCCATTTATCGTGTATTAGCCTATGAAGACGACAAATTTTTAGTGCACCAGCGAAATGGGGATTTTGGACTGCGCGCAGCGCGCAAAATATTTAAATTAAAATTTTGAATATTCATGAGCTCTTTTCCACTTATTAGCATATTATCGCAATGAAAAAAAGACAATGCGCATGCGTTACTATATCGACAGAATCATAATTGGGCCGGATAAATGTAGAACAAAGGTCAGAGATGGGGAGGTGTGTGGGGAGGGGGGGGGGGGGGGAGGGGGGGAGGGGAGGGGGGGGGGGAGGGGGGGGGGGGAGGGGGGGGGGGGAGACTTTTAAATGGTTGATTAGTTGGGGCCACAAACTTCACTGTCACCAGGATGGAAAGTACATTTAAAAAAAATTCAGTTCAGTTAAAAGGCAAAAATAATGACCCCATTTCACTCAATTCATTTTTACCTCTTTTTTTTGTTCGTTTATTAACTTAAATATTTTTTAAATCAGACAAATTGCACTGATCATTTAGCCCACTTAACAAGTGATATTTTCATATTTTAGTGTCCAATTCACGAATTATTCTCACCTCGACTTCAATGATCTTCATATTGTGCCCCATCCCCAATGAAATTTCAATTTTGTCTCGTTCTTTTCATTCTTGCATTCGTCGCCACTGATTTTTTTTTAAATCCCCCCCCCCCCCCAACAGTAACATTTTCAATACAGGGACCCCTTCTAATAGTGACATTTCCATAGGCTCTATTACCCCAATTACCTATGCTTTCATCATTTCGGCATCGACTTATTCTTTATTTAACCCCCCCCCCCTCATCTTTATTGTAAACCATTTTTTATACTGCATTTATTCATTAGTCTTGCCCACTCTCTTGTTACATTTCCGCTTTCTCTCTCATTAGGAAAGATGGTTAAATCTATCTCGCTGATTCAAGATAAAAACAAACAAAATAAAAGGTCGAACACCATACTCAATTCTACACAAGACTGCATCAGCCCCCATCTCACCTCAGTCATACAGCATTATCATTACAGAGTGCCTACATCATCATAATCACCAGCATCATCACATATATTTCACAAAATAAGAAAATGAAAAGAACAGAATTCAGCAGTATTAACTGATTTATTAACATTTATGAACTCATTTATCAACATATTTTGTTTCTACAAAGTCTTTTAAATCCAACATGACATTAACAAAAGGATGAAAAATGGATGGGGGGATGCTGTCTCTTGAATTCAAATCTTTCAGTTGTAAAAATTTACTGTAGATTTTGAAGAAAAAAATATTCAATAATACCAACATGCTATTTTATTATGTAAAGCACAGGTATATACTGAGTTTTATGAGTACTTTATCTAACATTGGACATTATTATTGTTTTTACTACTACCTGTATTATCATTATTATTACTGCTATTATCATGATCATTGTCATTTTTGTTACTATTTTTAATATTGTTATTATTATTAATATTAATTATATTAATACAGTCTTACTATTGAACTACATCACTTTATCCCCCCCCCTTCAATTTACTATCCAGTTCAGCATATCCCTCATATTGTTGTCAGAACTTGACTTAAGATTAAATATAAAAAAAAAATGTTACATGTACACGCATTTAAAAGAACAAATGATTACTTTCATGATCCTGGATATATCTTCTTCTTCTTCTTCTGGTAATCTTCAAAAGGCGTTGTAGCCTATCACGAGGATGAACTAATACTAAAGATTACAAGTGGTGTGAGGAAGACAGATGGTTTCTAAGTGGGATAAGGAGAGTAGATGCCTCAGAAGTAGTCCCTGGCAGTTCTCTGGACTGTCAGCATGCACTATATTTGCTGGAAGTCAGTTCCATTAACTTTGGGATAGAGTGTTGGGCAAATGCAAACTTGTCTACCTATGTCGCTTCTGGCTTGGTGCAACTGGAGGGTCATGTCATGGTACTTCCTGCTCGTGATTTGTT